GCCTGGCAGAGACCTTCGTGTTGTAAACGGTATGATTGTAGTTTTAGACGGGGTTATGTTCAAGCCAACCACACTACACCACCCCTTTGCCAGCCCCAATCCCTTTGTACGATATCGCAGAGAGTGTCTACGAATTTACTTTGGCAAAGATAAGAATGTCATCCGTATATCCCTGACAACGGATTCCATTGTTAGTTATCAGCTCAAGTAGATCGTCCGCAACTAAACTGTGGACAACCTCTTGTTGTGCCGAGACTAATTGTGGTATCACCTACTGTGGTTTAGGTACTCTAGTGCGCAGTACGTCTTCTATCCATCTGCGTACCGATGCTGCCACACTCTTCTTTTCCAGTGCTCTTGACACGCTTTCGTGAGACGTATGGTCAAAAGCACCTTCGATATCTAAAAGTTAAACTAATTGACCTAAAAGATTTCGCCAATGAATAGTTTTTCCTTCGTACTTTGAGTATGAAGATCACCTTTGCAGTTCAACATGGTTCTGGGATGTATGCCAGCGATAGCCTGTCCCTCATCAACCGTACAATGTGGGGCAGTAAGACCTGCTCCTCCTGCTGCGGAAATGTTGGAAATATGCCTTTCGCATCTGGGAACTTGTATTTTTCGAAAGAAGCCTTAGCCCACTTAATGAAATCTACAGTGAATAGCTATTTTGCAACTATCCAATCTAAGAGAGATGGCTTGTGTTCGACCACAATTTTACAATTTTCTCGAATTGTGTCCGGGCAATACGCAAGTAGAAGAGCCGTGGGTTTTTCTTCTGCGCTGGACGTATAAGTCCCAACCGATCTTTTAATGGCTAGTACTGTGGCCGTCTTGCCTCTAGCCTGAGTCTTATGCAGCCTTTCTGCCTCCGGTGTTGAGGAGACGTTTTCACAGCACTTCTTGAAGCCCTTCTGCTTTGATGTTCTAATCTTCTTGTAAGCTGGGAGGACTACACTTGTACACTTGTAGTCCTCCCAGTTCCCGGTACGTTTTGCTTTGTTAAATAGTTTGCGTCCCATTTTTCTTAGTTCTGAGAGTCTACTTGACCACCAAGAACAGCTGCGGCTCTTGGTGGCCGTCTTTAAGGGACAGCTGCTGTGACATGCCTCTATAATGTACTGACTTAGTGCAGACAATCTGCACTTCAGTACAGAAGCCTTTGCACTTCTGTCTAGCTGCCCCTCTCCACTGATATCGATTTCAAGCGTATTTCTAAAGGTGACCCAGTCTGTGTTTTTAGGGATACGCCTGGGAGGGAGTTTATTGACCTCGACACCCAGTGCGAATCTTATGATACTGTGATCTGACAAAAAAATTTCTGATGACACTCACCATTGCGAGAACAACCTTATCATAAGTTATACTTCGATTTCCGCTACTTTGTTTTTTGTCGGACGTATTGCCGGTATTGCCGCCCCCTCGCTTCTCTGGAGCAGGGGAGGCACTGTTGCCTTTCACCCTGTGGCTTACGAGCTTTTCGGCTTCCTCCATCAGGAACTATTTTAGGCTGGCACCCAGTTGGTGGTAGAAGATGTAGTCTGCCTCCTTTCTTCTTTTACCTTTTGCAAGCCCCAGCGATAGATGCATGTTGCGACCCACCCGAATCCGAGCAGATGATCCTGGTCGAAGGAGTATCGATGGGGTTCAGTTTGTAAGCGCCGGCCGCAGTTGATTTCGGCTGATGAGTGCCGCTGAAAGAAGGCATGTCGTCATCCTCGTCCTTGGCATGCTCCTCGAACAGCGCTCGCTCCTCTGGCGAAAGAGCGTCCAGAGAGCTGAACTTGCTTTTAGCCCCTGAACCTCCCGTACCTGCATCCGTGCTTACGTTGTTAGCGTTGTTCCATAGCGTATATTGTTGCCTTGTCGTTGTGGTTGTTGTAGTATTTGTTGTTGTTACTTTGTTAGTCATCTTTTTCTTACGACCCTCGGCTCGACGTGGCGAGCCGTTGGATCAACGTTCAATAAGAGGAACACAAAAGTCCGCCGCGCCAGAGCCCCATAACGCGGTAAGGCCACCTTTACTTCCCAATGCTCCGTTAGGATACAGCTGGATTTATCTCCTGGCTGCAAAACATCCAATGGGTACGGGAGTCGCATAACACCCTGGATTAGGAAGTGCCAGCTCTTGGTTGGCGCACGCATTAATATAAAAATGTTAAGTTGTTGGAATTAGAAATAATGATAAGTGCTGAGAATTAAATTGTGACTTTTATTTGACAATCCAGTGATCGAACTCAAGAGTGAGTTACAAGGTAGACGATTTATAGAGAAATTAAGTTATTAAAAGTTTTATTCGAGCTTACAATTAATTGCTTGTAGCACTGAGCAGAACTCTAATTACAACTGTCTTTGCTGCACAGACCCTTATATAGTAGATCTTTAACAAAATTTCGGCGCTAGAACCTTTTTGGCAACTACGAATTCGCTGTTGATTTTGACAATTTATCGTTGAATACAACTTTACTTAATTATTTTATAGGATCGGCTTTAGAATAACGTCCCAGGCTTTCGGGGATAAAATGGATATGGGCGGATAGAGGAGATCCTCCAGATCAAGAATATATATAGATATAGCCGCGGGAAACTTATAGTTTTCGAGATATTTACGTTTAAAATTTCAACTATTTAAAGTACGTATTTTTGCGATTTAAAATGAATTATACACTTATATTTTTCACTTTTATATCCACTAACACTTGACTTATTCGTTTTTAGAAATTTTTATACTCTCGCAACCTGTTGCTACAGAGTACAATAGTTTTGTTCACCTAACGGTTGTTTGTATCACCTAAAACTAATCGAGTTAGATATAGGGTTATGTATATATAAATGATCAGGATGAAGAGACGAGTTGAAATCCGGGTGACTGTCTGTCCGTCCGTCCGCCCGTCCGTCCGTGCAAGCTCTAACTTGAGTAAAAATTGAGATATCTTTATGAAACTTGGTAGACATGTTTCTTGGTGCCGTGAGACGGTTGGTATTGCAGATGGGCGTAATCGGACCACTGCCACGCCCACAAAACGCCATTAATCAAAAACAAATAACTTGCCATAACTATGCTTCGCAATAAGATACAAGACTGTTATTTGGTACACAGGATCACATTATGGAGGGGCATCTGCAGCTAAAACTTTTTTTTTTAAAGTGGGCGTGGTCCCGCCTCTAATAGGTTTAATGTGCATATCTTCTAAACCGCTAATGCTATAATAACAAAATTCACTAGAAGCAAATGTTTTTAGCACTTCTATTGACGGTGTGAAAATAGTTGAAATCGGGTGGCAACTCCGCCCACTCCCCATATAACGGTACTGTTAAAAACTACTAAAAGCGCGATAAATCAAGCACTAAACACGCCAGAGACATCAAATTTTATCTCTGAGATGGTATAAATTGGCTTTATAGGAACCGCGTTCAAAATTAGTCAGTGGGCGTGGCACAGCCCACTTTTAGGTGAAAACCCATATCTTGAGATCTGCTCAACCGATTTCAACCAAATTCGGTGCATAACGTTCTTTTCATGTTTCTATGTCATAGTGCGAAAATGGGCGAAATCGGACTACAATCACGCTTACTTCCCATGTAACACCATTTTCAATTCCATCTGATTCTTTCACTTTCCACTATGCAAATCAGGTAACAATGATTATATCGGGGTAAAACTTTGCGTGAATAATTAATTAAAGTATGCCACCCTGCGGCCAAAAATTGTCTAAATCGAACCAAAACTGTTCAAACCCCTAAGTACTAAATATGTGGACCCCAGTGCCTATAGTTGACCTTCTACCGAAAATATCAGTCAATCCACAAAGAAATCTCAAACGAGTATACCATTTGACTTTGCGAGAGTATAAAATGTTCGGTTACATCCGAACTTAGCCCTTCCTTACTTGTTTTTATATTAGATGCTGCAAAAATAGCTTTATTTCAATATTTAAATCATTGCTCAACTTTATTAATTTTGACAATAAAAAAATGGTTGTGAATGTCAAAACACCAGTGTTGCCATACTAATATATTTTGTAAACGAGGAATCTATAATAAACAGAGAGATTGTACCCTAGATACAGGAAACAACGCAAAAAGAATTTCTGCGCGTAAAAACTTTGGTACACCCCGGTGTTGGATCGACCAAGGTTATTTTTTTTTTGAAGCCAACGCAAAAAGAAGTTCTGCGCAATAAAACCTTGATACACTCCGGTGTTGCATCGACCAGGGTTATTTTTTTGAAGCGCGGCCGAAGGCTGCCAACGCAAAAAAGAGTTCTGCGCTAAAAAACCTTGATACACCCCGGTGTTGGACCGACCAGGGTTATTTTTTTAAAGCGCGGCCGAAGGCCGCCAACGCAAAAAGAAGTTCGGCGCGAAAAATATTTTCATACACACCGGTGTTATACCAACCAGGGTTATTTATTTTGAAGCGCGGCCGAAGGCCGCCAACGCTAAAAGAAGCTGTACAAGAAAAAGTAATATTGTTATAGAGGGTATAACATAATACTTATCATCAATGCTTTATAATAGTTTATTTCTCTAGGTTTTGGATTCCTGTATTTGGGGTATTATCTGTTTTCAGTTCAATTACAAAAGATGTGTGTATAAGGTAACACTGGTTATTTGAAATTTTGCAACCCTTTTTTTATTGTCAGAATTAGTAGAATTTAACAATAATTTAATTATTGAATTAAACTATTTATGCACTATATAATGTAAAATAAATGTGTACAAACGAATTAGTGAAGTGTTAGTGGATATAAAATTGGAAAATATTATCTAAGTGTATAGTTCATTTGAAATCGAAAAAATGCTTACTATAAATAGTTGAAATTTTCAGCTTTGAACGTAAATAGCTCTAAAACTATAGGTTTCCCGCTGCTATATCTATATATATTCTTGATCTGGAGGATCTCCTCTATCCGCCCATACCCATTTTATCCCCGAAAACCTGGGACGTTATACTAAAGTTTTCCCATTTTATATTTGCTGGCATCCTTCAACTTTTTTGGACGTATGTCTATGTTGCCACTCATGTCTATGAGCCTCTGCGAATGGCAGGCACCTTGCCGTGGTGCAGGGGCTTAAGTCGCAAGGCATCCTCGGCATCTCCCAACTGGTGCGAGCGGTGCTTGCACCCTCACACTGGTTGTCAGAGGCCGTATGCGTGCGACAACCAAGAGCTGCCACCTCCTAATCCAGGGTGTTATGCGACTCCCGTGCCCATTGGATGATTTGCAGCCAGGAGGTAAATTCGGCTGTATTCTAACGGAGCCTTCCCAACACCGGGCCGCATTGGGAAGTAACGGTGGCCTTACCGCGTCAAGGGGCTCTGGCGCGGCGGACTCTTTGTTCCCCATACAAAAAGCTGACCCGACGGCTCGCCTCGTCGAGCCAAGGGACGTACGAACAAGATGAACAACAAAAACAAAAACGAAACAACAACAAAAACAAACGGATCTCGGCAACAACAACAGCTAACGACTACGGAAAACGGCAACGACAAGGGCAGCGGTGCAGGTAAGGGCGAATCAGGGGCTAAACGAAAGTTCAGCTTCCTGGACGCCCTTTCGCCAGAGGAGCGAGCGCTGTTCGAGGAGCATGCCAGGGACGACGACGATGACATGCCCTCGTGCAGCGGCGTTCAGCAGGCGATTTCGACTGCGGCCGCTGCGGAAAAAACAAGAGAGAACCCCACGGAGACTCTCTCGAGCAGGAGCAACTGCTCGGATGTAGAGGAGTCGCAACGGGCGACCTCCGGAGGGGCTCTTAAACGGAAAAGGAAGAGGGGAGGCAGACTACCCCCCCTGCCACCAACGGGATGTCCGGGAGGACAGGACGATCCCAGGAGAAAAGGTATGAGCGGTGCCAGCCTGAAGTGGTACCTGAGGCACCTCCAGGAGGGAAGAACTCCGGAGGTAGCAGAAGACCTAGCGCGGAACAGGGTGAGAGGTGACAGCACTTCCCCGGCTTCCGGTAAACAAAAGGGTGGAAATACTGCGGCCACTAGGAAACGCAATGGCAACAATCGAGGCCACTGCCCAGTAAACGCAACTCAGCCCGCAGGCCGAGGTTGCGAAAGGGCAGCTCCCTCGACCACCCAAGCGGCGAAGCGAAAAAGTGGACAGCTGACGCCACAGGAGCCGCCCAACACCAAGCGGCAGAGGGGCAACGTGGCTCATGCGACTGGTGGCAACCGCTCCGCCCCTAATCCCCCCCGGGTAGCGGAGGGACAGCGCAGGTATGCGGATGCCCTCAAAGGCATTCGTATGGCGGTGCTGCCGCTGAACTACCCGGCGGAGACGCTGGGGTCGGAGGAGCTCACCGTGCTCCAAGATTTGCTCATGGAGGAGGTATTCAGGGGGTCTGGATACAAAGCCTCCTTCCATGGGGTCTACTTCAAGGGAGGCATATTGCAGGTAGACTGCAAGGATGAAAGGTCGGCTTGTTGGCTGCGGGAGATCGCTCCCAAGCTGGCAGGCTGGAATGGACCCATCCTCTGCGCGAAAAAGGGGGACGAAATTCCGCCCATGCATAGCATGACGGTATTCCTCCCCAGATGCGCAGGCAAGCCTTACGAATTTGCTCTAGGGCTCATCCGCAACCAGAACGATGGCCTCAATACATCGGCATGGCGGGTGACCAGCAGCACTGAAGAGGATTCAGGGTGGAGGCTCAACCTCTCCATAGATGACGAATCGTACAAATTCGTCAGGAAGGTGAGCTTCCGTCTGAACTACAGGTTCAGCTCGGTGGTCCTGAGGCCATTTAGGCCTAAGCCGACCACCATGTGCGATGCAGGGGAAAAAATGCAGGTGGATGAGGTTGCGACTCATCCCTGCGCAAGCACGTCAAAGCAGGCGGCAACTGCCGAGACATTGGTGAAGGTCCCCTCCGAGAAGACGGGCGAGCAAGGGGGGGCGCTACCCTCCACTCAGGAGCTTCTGGAGGGGCTCACGAACCTGGCGGGAGACATCGCGGAGGACGGTGAGAATGAGGACCAGTTCCTCATGGAGCCGATCCTGTAGTGGGTCCGCGAATAGAAGTTGCCCAGGTAAACCTGCACCACGCGGCGTCAGCCTCGGCGGTTATCGCGAGCAGGTTTACGATCGATGGTCTGGGCATACTACTGATCCAGGAGCCATGGGTCAGAAAAGGAGAGGTCAGGGGCCTCAAAATGAAGTCAAACAAGGTAATTTGGGACCTCTCAAGTGAGAGACCCAGAACCTGCGTAGTACTTAGGAACGATATTGATTATTTCTGTCTTTCAGAGTTCCTAACACAGGACCTGGTCGCTGTACAAGCCACGAACGACGAAGGAGCGGACTTCGTCGTGGCAGCGGCCTATTTTCCGGGGGAGACTCCGATAGCACCCCCAGAGGCAATCGGCAACCTGGTAGAGCACTGCAGGCGGAATAAACTGCCCCTCATCATGGGCTGCGATGCGAATGCCCACCATATCGAATGGGGCAGCACGGACTGCAACACACGGGGTGAGTCTCTTATCGAGTTTATAGTTAGTAATAATTTAAGTATAGCAAACGTGGGGTGCGAACCCACCTTTGTAACTAGTGCCAGAAGGGAGGTGCTTGACATCACTCTCAGCAGCGAGCCTGAGATGGGGCTGATCTCACAATGGAGGGTATCATCGGAACCCTCCATGTCGGATCACCGTATCATAAGATTCGTGCTGGGGATGGGTGTCGGGCAACTCCCTCCCAAGCGTAACCCTAGGAACACGGACTGGGCCGCTTTTAGGGACTCGCTTAAAATAAATGTTAGCAGTAGGGAGCAGCTGGATATAAGCGCAACGGCTTCTGGATTGGAGAGCAGACTGTCTGCCCTAAACCAATCCATCACAGAAGCCTATCAAAGCAGCTGCCCCCTAAAGACAGTCGCCAAGAGCAGTAACTGCTCCTGGTGGTCCAGTAAACTCTCAGTACTGAGAAAAACGGTGCGCAAGCTATTCAATAAGGCTAAGCGCACCGGAAACTGGGAGGAATACAGATGCAGCCTAACTACCTACAATAAGGAGATTAGGACGGCGAAACAGAAGAGCTTTAGGAAGTTCTGTGAGAGCGTCTCCTCTACCCCAGAGGCAGCTAGACTGCATAAGGCTCTGGCTAGAGGCAAGACGGACACAGTACTAGCGATCAAACGATCTGATGGGACCTATACGTCCAGCGCAGAAGAAAGAGCCACGGCCCTTCTACTAGCGCATTTCCCGGAGACGATTCATGAAGACCAGATTCGACCTATGGTCGAACGAAGGCCGTCACGCTTGGACTGGACAGTCGCAAAACAGCTCTTCACTGCAGACTCCATCAAGTGGGCTCTGGCCTCTTTTGAAAAATACAAGTCACCGGGTGCGGATGGAATCCTTCCAGCTTTTCTGCAACAGGGGGAGCAGGTGCTACTGCCCCACCTTGTTCGGCTGATGAGGGATAGCCTAGCGCTGGCATATATCCCAGAACCATGGCGCACCGCAAAGGTGATCTTCATACCCAAAGTAGGGAGGAAAGACTACTCATTGGCGAAATCGTTCAGGCCAATAAGTCTTACTTCCTTCCTACTCAAAAGTATGGAAAAGATCATAGACCACGAATTACGATCGAAGGTGCTGAAAGCTTCACCGCTTCATGAGAAGCAACATGCTTACAGAGCAGGTAGATCAACTAACACTGCTCTGTACCAGCTAACCTCAGAGATCCAGAATTCGTTAGATGGGGGCGAGGTGACGCTATGCGCCTTCCTCGACATAGAAGGTGCTTTCGACAACACGTCTCACGAGAGCGTGTCAAGAGCACTGGAAAAAAGGAGTGTGGCAGCACCAGTGCGCAGATGGATTGAAGCCGTACTGCGCACTAGGGTGGCGGAAGCCGCAGTAGGCGAAACTAAAATTCGTCTGGGTACAACAAGAGGTTGCCCACAGGGCGGAGTGCTATCCCCCCTACTTTGGAGCCTAGTTGTAGACGACCTCCTTGAGCGGCTGACTAGCAATGGAATCCGCTGTCAGGGATATGCGGATGACATTGTTATCTTAGCTAGGGGAAAATTTGAAGACATACTCTGCGATATCGTTCAGAGGGGATTGGGACTGGCAAAGGGGTGGTGTAGGGGGGTTGGCTTAAATATCAACCCCGCTAAAACTACAATCATTCCCTTCACCAGACGGAGGTCACTGCCGGGCCTCAGGAATATATCCCTGGACGGCAGAGTGGTTGAGATGTCCAGCACGGTCAAGTATCTGGGACTCACGCTGGATTCCACACTGCGATGGAATCAGCACGTGGACCAGACCCTAACCAAAGCTACAAAAGCACTCATGGTGTGCAACCGACTTGCTGGAAAATCCTGGGGGTGCTCCCCAAGGACTATCAGGTGGATGTACACCATGATTGTGAGACCGATTATCACGTATGGAGCGGTATCGTGGGGTTCGAAAGCATCGCAGACTTCGGTAGGACTTAAACTGTCGAAGCTGCAAAGACTTGCCTGCATCTGCGCGTCGGGAGCAATGCGAACGTGTCCGACCGCAGCACTAGAGGTCATGCTAGAACTTTCACCGCTACACCTGGTAATCAAACAGACAGCCAAACGAACTCTGCTCCAAATGACAGCAGAGGGAGCTGGCAAAGGGAAGGTAATCTCATCCCAGCAGATGAAAGAGCTAAGTGAGGAAATACCACTAGCCCTTCTCCCAAGGGATAGCATTACCAAAGTAGTAAACTTCAGCAGGAAGTTCCAAGTAACCCTTGGCAGCAAATCTGAGTGGAAGGACTCTGCACTAGACCAGCTGCTAAAGGGTTGCACCATCAAGTGGTACACCGACGGGTCTAAAACGGAGGAAGGGATTGGTGCAGGGGTCGCTGGGCCAAGCACCAAACTCTCCATTCCCATGGGAAGTTTCCCTAGCATATTCCAAGCCGAGGTCTATGCTATAAGTCGGTGTGTAGGAATAAATCTCCAGCGCAACTATCGCAATAAAAGTATCGCTATACTCAGCGATAGTCAGTCGGCACTAAGAGCGATCAATGCCTATGAGGTCAGATCTCTCCTAGTGATGGAGTGCATAGAACGGCTGAACAGCCTATCTGAGCACAACCGAGTGCACCTTATTTGGGTGCCCGGCCATAGGGGTATAGCTGGGAACGAACTAGCCGACGAGTTAGCTCGCTCTGCAGCCTCTACAAGAATGGTAGGGCCGGAACCATACTTAGCGGTTGGTCCACATACCATCAAAGAGTTCCTCCGCAGGGAGGAAAGATCAGACAGGGAGATACACTGGCAACAACTCCAGGGCATGCACCATGCCAGACTGCTAATGGGGGGTTACGACCTCAAGCGGTTCAATGCCATAATTAATCTCCCAAGAAACAAATTCCGGCTACTGGTAGCGTTCTACACCGGCCACTGCAGGCTCAAGAAGCATCTCTTTAACATGGGCATAGCCTCTTCTGCAAACTGCCGGTTCTGCGACATAGAGCCGGAAACCCCCGAACATCTGCTGATGAACTGCACAGCAGTCTGCAGACGCAGAATCAAGGCCCTGGGATCCATGTTTCCACACAGGGATTGTATCGCCTCACTAGCACCCAGCAGAATTTTGGAATTTATCAATATGCTGGGCCTAGATGACACGATATGACTTAGGGGAGGGCACAATAGACCGTAGGTCGCGGTGCATACCTCAAAATTAATCAATCAATCAATCATGTTGCCACTCTGTAGAAATGAAAACAGCTCTGTCAAATCATTAAATTGATATTTCTTTGCTGGCAATTGGTGAAGATATATATTAAGCCATCTATTGCTAAACATAAGCAATGTGCAGTCTCCATTAGAAATATTGTTAGCAATGCAATATTAAGAAATAATATATTGCGTGCCGAGATGCCACTTAAAGTATTCGTAAAATATGTATTAATTAGTGAGAAGTAAAACTTGACTTCAAATTTTCAATAATCGGTGAATATGTGGCATACGGGCATTGCGGTGTTACAAACTGGATTTGATATGAGTACTCGGACGCTATATTTATTATATCATCAAATGGGAATCCGTACACTTATAGTGATATTGTTTACTCTCCAATGTCCAACGTATGGATTAGATTCATACTATTATTTGGAGAGCAACGATATTAGTGAGTTAAATAGTGTTGAACAAATGGCTCGTTTTCCTTTGTTAATGCCGAAAGTTGTTCCAAATAAGGTATGTACGTCTATTGGTGTATCAAAGTTAAATGCGATTCTACTTGATGAATATAAATATGAATGAACGCACCTATAAAATTTCGCGGGTGGGCTTTAAAATATTGTCATAGGATTTTGAAAATGCAATAAGGGTAATGTACCCCCAACTAAGGAGGCCTCCAAAAAGGATTTTTGGTAAATGTATAGTTTAGGTTCCCCCACTAAGGAGGCCTCCAAAAAGGATTTTTGGTAAATGTATAGTTTAGGTTCCCCCACTAAGGAGGCCTCAAAAATGATTTTTTTTTAAATCGTCTTATTTTTACGCGTAGATTACAAATCCGGGGTCGGCTATAGAATAACGTCCCACGCTTTCGTGGATAAAATGGGTATGGGCGGATAGAGGAGATCCTCCAGATCAAGAACATATTTAGATATAGCCGCGGGAAACTTATAGTTTTCGAGATATTTACGTTTAAAGTTGAAAATTTCAACTATTTAAAGTACGTATTTTTGCGATTTGAAATGAATTATACACTTGTATTTTTCACTTTTATATCCACTGGCGCCCTACAAAAAAATAATAGTTTATAATTCAATCGTGTCAAACTCCTTTCTGCACTGGCGGCCTTCTCCAAAAAAAATAACCCTGGTCGGTCCAAAACCGGGGTGTCCATAATTCAATCGCGTCAAATTCCTTTTAGCTGCTCTCAACCTCGATGATAATTTGGGAAAATTTTAGTATACCGCCCCAGGCTTTCGGGCATAAAATGGGTATGGGCGGATAGAGGAGATCCTCCAGATCAAGAATATATAGCCGCGGGAAACTTATAGTTTTCGAGATATTTACGTTCAAAGTTGAAAATTTCAACTATTTAAAGTACGCATTTTTTCGATGTCAAATGAATTATACACTTAGATAATATTTTCCAATTTTATATCCACTAAATATTAAACTAAAGTTGAATTCAATAATTCAATTATTCTTAAATTCTATTAATTCTGACAATAACAAAAGGGTTGCAAAATGTCAAATAACCAGTGTTACCTTATCGACATCTTTTGTAATTGAACTGAAAAAAATTAAAACAGATAATACCCCAAATACAGGATTCCAAAACCTAAAGAAATAAACTATTACAGAGCATTGATGTTAAGTATTACGTTATACCCTCTATGACAATATTACTTTTTCTTGTAAAATAACCCGGTCGGTCCAACACCGGTGTGTATCAAAATATTTTTCACGCAGAACTTTTTGCGTTGGCGGCCTTCGGCCGCGCTTCAAAAAAATAAGACTGGTCGGTCCAACACCGGGGTGTATCAAGGTTTTTACTCGCAGAAACTCTTTTTGCGTTATTTCCTGTATCCAGGGTATAATCTCTGTTTATTTTATTTTTCTTGGTTTACAAAATATATTAGTATGGCAACACTGGTGTTTTGACATTCACAACCATTTTGTTATTGTCAAAATTACAAAAATTGAAGAATGATTTAAATATTGAAATAAAGCTATTTTTGCAGCATCTAATATAAAAAAAATTTCTAAAAACGAATAAGTCAAGTGTTAGTGGATATAAAAGTGAAAAATATAAGTGTATAATTCATTTCAAACCGCAAAAATAAGTACTTTAAATAGTTGAAATTTTAAACGTAAATATCTCGAAAACTATAAGTTTCCCGCGGCCGCCGGGCAGAGATATTCCCGAATTTCAACTCGCCTCTCCATCCTAATCATTTATATATGTATATCCCTATATCGAACTAGATTAGTTTTGGGTGATACAAACAACCGTTAGGTGAACAAATATTCCGTAGCAACATGTTGCAAGAGTATAACAAGATGAACGCAGAAGGAAAGCGCGTAAAACGACTCCAAGAGAAGACGAACTGATTGTTCGCGAATCACGAAAGGATCCGCAGAAAACTGCCGATGAAATTAGAGCGTGGATTTTTGGGCAGAAAGTGATCCCACCAGCCTGTTCGCGAATCACGAAAGGATCCGCAGAAAACTGCCGACGAAATTAGAGCGTGGATTTTTGGGCAGAAAGTGAACCCACCAGCCGTAGATACTATTAAAAGGCGATTGAGAGAAGCAGTTCTTTTTGGAAGCATTTCCAGGAAGAAGCCGCCGATATTGTTGTAATAAAAAAAATCGTTTGGAGTTTGCATTAAAATACCGCCACTGAACAACAAGTGCATGAAAAAAGGTCCTTTTAGATAAGAGCTGAACCCTAGCTCCAATACTAAAGCATGGTGAAGGCTTCATAATGCTTTGGGCTGCCATATCATGTCGTGGCATCGGGCCTATATTCAAAATTGATGAGCAAATGGATCAATTTAAGTACATAGCGATTACGAACGACGACTGCCATTTGCCGACGCTAACATGCCCGTAACATGGATGTACCAGCAGGATAACGATTCGAAACACATAGCTCGACGCACTAAGTAGTGTTTTCAGGACAATTTGGTGACTGTTTTAAACTGGCCTTCTTGTGGTACAGATCTAAACCTTATTGTGAATCTTTGGTCTTACTTGAAAGAAGGTACGATCTTATATGTAAAGTAAAGACTTTCGAAGATTTATACGAAATGGCCAAAAATTAGTGAAGTCAATGCCACGCAGATGTCAAGCGATAATCGACAATAATGGTTTTACTACAAAGTATTGAACTTTTTTTGAAAAAATAAATGTCTTATCTAAAAACACATAAATCGTTGTTAATTAGTTGCACGATCCATTTGGACTTTCCATTATTAAAAACATAGATTTTTATAGAACTATTTTCGAAATACGCGAATATAGACCGTAATGATTAAATGTTTTATTGTAGTTTAAAAATCACGTAATAATAATAATGGATTAAGTTTTATTATTTTCTTCACCGATAATGACTAATTTTACAATAAATCATAAATAATTATTATTTTTGAGCAAAAATCAAAAATAACCTTTATATATATGATTTTTATTATTATTTTTTTTTTTGCTCAAAATAAAACTTATCACAGATTTCTTATGAGGCTGGGTCCTCTATTATTAAAATTATAGCAGTGCAGCAGAAGCGAAAATATATAACGGTTTTTTTTTTGTCAATTTGTTTCGTCAATTGAGTGCTTGCACATAGTTTTAGTAGAATGGAATATAGATATAGGTTAAAGAGAAGAGATAACACGAAAATTGGATTTTCCCGTGGAAACGAGTGAGCTGATTGTTCTCTTGCAACTTAAGGTTGCCCGTCTCGATATTCTGTTGTAAATAAATATGTTTGAAACATTCTTAAACTAACTCAAAATCACAGTCAAATACAATTAAACTATAAATATGTAGACTCTTTTATACTCTCGCAACCTGTTGCTACAGAGTATAATAGTTTTGTTCACCTAACGGTTGTTTGTATCACCTAAAACTAATCGAGTTAGATATAGGGTTATATATATATAAATGATCAGGATGAAGACGAGTTGAAATCCGGGTGACTGTCTGTCCGTCCGTCCGTCTGTCCGTCCGTCCGTGCAAGCTCTAACTTGAGTAAAAATTGAGATATCCTTATGAAACTTGGTAGACATGTTTCTTGGTACCGTGAGACGGTTGGTATTGCAGATGGGCGTAATCGGACCACTGCCACGCCCACAAAACGCCATTAATCAAAAACTAATAACTTGCCATAACTAAGCTCCGCAATAAGATACAAGACTGTTATTTGGTACACAGGATCACATTAGAGAGGGCATCTGCAGTTAAACTTTTTAAAAGTGGGCGTGGTCCCGCCTCTAATAGGTTTAATGTGCATATCTCCTAAACCGCTAATGCTATAATAACAAAATTCACTAGAAGCAAATGTTTTAGCACTTCTATTGACGGTGTGAAAATAGTTGAAATCGGGTGGCAACTCCGCCCACTCCCCATATAACGGTACTGTTAAAAACTACTAAAAGCGCGATAAATCAAGCACTAAACACGCCAGAGACATCAAATTTTATCTCTGAGATGGTATAAATTGGCTTTATAGGAACCGCGTTCAAAATTAGTCAGTGGGCGTGGCACAGCCCACTTTTAGGTGAAAACCCATATCTTGAGATCTGCTCAACCGATTTCAACCAAATTCGGTGCATAACGTTATTTTCATGTTTCTATGTCATAGTGCGAAAATGGGCGAAATCGGACTACAACCACGCTTACTTCCCATGTAACACCATTTTCAATTCCATCTGATTCTTTCACTTTCCACTATGCAAATCAGGTAACAATGATTATATCGGGGTAAAACTTTGCGTGAATAATTAATTAAAGTATGCCACCTTGCGGCCAAAAATTGTCTAAATCGAACCAAAACTGTTCAAACCCCTAAGTACTAAATATGTGGACCCCAGTGCCTATAGTTGACCTTCTACCGAAAATATCAGTCAATCCACAAAGAAATCTCAAACGAGTATACCATTTGACTTTGCGAGAGTATAAAATGTTCGGTTACATCCGAACTTAGCCCTTCCTTACTTGTTAATAGTTGGATTTTAGTTTTGAGCTTTTACATTATGAAAATTTATAACTAAAAAACTTAATGTTTGAAAATATATATATATATAAATTCACGATAAAAATATTTTCTTTGGCAATTTATTACTTTCTACGAAAATTTTTGTTGCTTATTATCGGGAAATTTTCCTTTCCTGATCGTTAAACGCTCAAGAAGTTACTTACAAGTGGCCATACATTCGCATTTCTTTTTACTACTATACTGCACCCGCAAATATCGAACTTGAACTATTCTAAATATTCCGTATTGCGTCGACAATATTTTGACCTAAACAAAAAATGTTATAATAATTACTTCAATAAAGTAAAAAAGAATGTTGTAAGTAATCCAAAATGGTTTTATGATTTCGTCAACTCCATACGCAGGATTTCCAAATTTCCGTCCGCGATGAAATACAAATCTATCATTTCAACTGACAATGTTATTATATCCAATATGTTTGCAGAATTTTTCAAGTCATACTACTGTAATAATTCTTCCA